ATGTGGCCTAATTAACTATCTATGTGTAAGCTAGTTCATTACCTAGTGTTTGAACCTTTTAAACAATAAGGTACTAATTAATTCCTTGCTTAGTTCAATATACATTTTATTTTTTAAATTTATTTGTTTATTTGTTCTAATTTGTTATACATGACAACAGAATGCACTTCAGCTCATAGTACACAAATGGAGCACCATTTTTCATTGTCTGGTTTACACAAAATAGAGTCACACCATTCATGTCTTTACACATGTACCTAAGGTAATGATGTCCATCTCATTCCATCATCTTTCCTACCCCCCTACCCCCTCCTTTCCCCTCCCTCCCCTTTGCCCTATCCAAAGTTCCTCCATTCCTCTTATGCTCCCACTCACCCCCATTATGGATCAGCATCCACTTATCAGAGAAAACATTCTGCCTTTGGTTTTTTTGGGATTGGCTTATTTCACTTAGCATGATATTCTCCAACTCCATCCATTTACCTGCAAATGCCATGGTTTTATTCTCTTTTAATGCTGAGTAATATTTCATTGATATACATTTTAAAGAACAAAAGGAAAGAATAGTACGGGTGGCCATTTCAGTAGAGAGCAATATTTTCAGTCAAATGGACTTTTGTTCTCCCTCAAATAGCACACAGGTAGTCACTGATTTTGCCTATGCCTGTGGCCAGCTTGATCACATCAGAGCCATTAACCCAGGACACAATTGCTTACGAACCTGAGCAAGGGAGAGGAGTAAGCAGGAAGACCCCATCTTCTTGCTGGGAACCTCCAATATCTGATAACCCTTGTAGTTACAAAGTTCATGGTTCCCTGGGGCTCATCCTCCTCCATGCCTTAGTGTTGACATTAAGGCTTTTCCCCCCTAAGCACAAGATATTTCCTGTTTTCCATTTTTCAGCTGCAGAGGGATTGAATGCACTGCAGTTACCAAGAGCAAGGGCCAGAGTTCAATTTAAATACTTTGATTTTCATTATGTGTTCAAACTCTCTAATCAAGCCTTCTTTTTGTCTACCAGATTTCCTCTCCATATATGTGAGTCTTCTTTCTTAATGTAGTTTGAATGGAAAAACTTTCAAATTTAAAAATGGATGTTAATAATTACAAATGATCTATTCAAACAGAGGCCATTCAACCTGCTTATTTGAACATACAAAGGTGTGTCTCTTTTCCTTGAGTTTTCACTGCACAGAGAAGAGTATATTCAGATACAATTTCATACGATTATCCTATAACAGGAGTTCCTTTACCCAAGTCTCTGTTGGGTGTTTTTGAGCACACAAATAAACTGCCTAGAAGTAAAGCCTGTCCACCAAATATTTGTTTTCTTTCATGAAGATTCTACTCTTCAGGCAAGCCCAGATAACATTGTTTTCCTGCTCAATAGCAAGAAAAGAAATTTTTTCTGTTGGGAGAAATATGAAAAAACTTTTATGTGTGTATGCTAGGGATCAAATCCAGGGCCTCACACATTAAGCAAACACTGAACACTGAACTGTAGTTCTCAGTCCTAGAAAAAACTGTCCCTAAAAATTGTTCCAAGTCAAATGTATGTCCTTCCCAAGGAAAAACTACATGGCAGATGAAGAAAAACTCAGCAAGAAAAAGGCAACGTAAATGATAAAATGAAGGACCAGAGAAATTAAGTTGCTATTATGAGAACATTTACAGCCAAGTTAGTGAATGCTTTTATTTAGTACGGAAGATAGGGCAACCCAGTAGGAGAAAGCTGGTGTAAAAGTGACGTTTCTCATTATTTACACATAAAGCATGAGTTCTGTGAACTTCAAGGGTCTCTGAACTCTCAGAAGATTTGAACGTGTATTTGTGTATATGAATTTTTTTTTCTTTTCTGAGAGATCACCTATAAGTTTCCAAGGGGTCTAAAATTTGCAATTATAAAATTATTTAAGGGATATGGATAAGTTGGATACTGCTACTTCAGTGAAAGCTTGAAGATCATAAAATCAAAGATGTGCATTTGAAGTATTTTACATTGGAAGAGAACTGAGTCAGGGCTTCCTGGATAGTTATAGCAAAACTGGACAGGAAACCTAGAGAATTAGCTGAGAATTGGATCTAGACAGGCCCACAGTATAAAGTAGGGTAACATTCAATTATATAGAATATTTAAAAATCCCAGGGGCTTAGCAAAATAAAAGTTTATTTCTCATTCACATAAAGCTCAGTATGGAAATTCCTAATCAGTAGGCAGCCTTACCTGTGGTCATTCAGAGACCAGGCTCCTTGCATCCTGGCTCTGTCTTCCTGTACAGCATTGGAGCCCTCTGTTTGAAGAAGCCTGTATCTAGAAAATCCATAGGGGAAGAGAGAGAAGGTGTGGATCCCATGATTCCATCACCTGCCCACACTCCTCCTGTTGGATTTCAGTGACATCACCAAACCTAACTGGAAGGGACGATGGAAAATGTAGTCTAAATCTTCACTCATGAAGTAGAAAAAATGAGTTTTGGTGAACACATAGCATCTTTACCCACTTAAAAGAAGCAATAGTACCAGGAAGCAGCTGGGAGTGAAGAGGACATACTGCTTTAGACACCAGGAGAAAGTCCAATGTCATAGGCAGAGGAGGAGACTAATAGGACTATGAAAGTGTCCAGAGGACGGGATGGTCACAGTGACGTACAACCCAGGAGCAAAGTGCTGAGAGTTTCAGGCATAGAGGCAGGAGGAATTGGTAGAATCAGTCATGAGTAGTAGAGACCTAGTGACCCAATAGGTATTTAGGAAGACTAGGAGTAGGAGTGGGGGATAGGAACAGGATGAGGCAGGAGCTGGGATGGAATAACCCAGATCTAGGAAGATCACAGTCATGGGGAACAGGGCACAAGCACAGATCATCAGGACAGGCTATTTGTGAGATGGCTCATTCATGAACAGCATGTCAGATAAGAGCTGGTTCAAGTTCCTTTTGTCCAGGTCAGCATTGGTCCTCGAGTAATACAGGGCCTCCTGACAGGAGTCAGCTATAAGGAGAGGGATAAGAAAATAGGTAAGATCTGATAACAATCCATCATCAAGTGTTACCATAACTTTCTCAGCTTCTTGGTCTCTGACAACAGCCCTAACTAACCCCAACTTCCTCAAAAATGTCCTGGGATGAAACAGCATCACTGAGTCAGTTCAAACCCTCCAGAGCACAAAGCAAATGCCCATTAAGAGGATGGGGTGGTTTATTTGCTTAGAAGAAAAAAATAATAAAAATAATAGTCAATATGTGTGCAACGCACCGTTTTTAGGCTTTTGACATATTTAAGCATTTAATCTTGACAACAACTTTATGAAGAAGGTATCTTTCATGTGTGTGTATTTGTGTGTGTGTGGTCCTGGGGATTAGAATCCAGGGCTTATGCATGCAAGGCAAGCACTCTACCAACTGAGCTATATCTTCAGCTTAAGAAGGTAACTTTATTACCCTAAAATTACAGATTAAACACTGACCAGTGGAGTCTGACTAAGTGACTTAATCCAAGTAAGCAGTACAGCTAAGATTCAAGCAGAATTGACTCTGGAGTGGATGATCTTAGAGACCCACATTTGACCATTTTCATCGCAATGTTCACTCACTCCATGGATGAAGATGCACCTTGAAACTCTCCCTCAGATATCAGATCTAACATTTTGTTTTCAGAAACCTGCCCCATACTTGTGGAATGATTTAAGTTATCCACCCTAAGAAGAAGACATTAACAGTTTCCTAGTGTGTCCACACTCTCAAATAATGTAAGCTATCTGCACTAAAAAGTTTTGAAGTAAAATATGTCACAAATGAATGATTGCCGAAAGTCAGGGCTAGAAGGAACCTCAGGGATGACTGTCTTACCTGCATTGGGAAACCACATGTCACTTAGCATAATTGAGTCAAGAGGGTTAAGAGCCAGAAATTTTTGACAGTGATATAACTCCCCTAGTTCTTAGGTGGCTAGAGAGACAATGATAACAGGGCTCAACTTCAAAGGATTTATTTTTTATGAATTGAGGAGTCCTGTATTGTGTGTAACTATTCAAGGATTGTATAGTCAATCCATCATCCACACATTCTTCTACCCATCCATTTATCTGTCCATGTATTTATTCATTCAGTTGCTAAAATAGACACTCATTCAAAAATATCTGCTGAGGGGCTAGAGTTGTGGCTCAGTGGTAGAGCACTCGTCTCGCAAATGTGAGGCACTGGGTTAGATCCCAGCACCACGTAAAATAAAGACATTGAATCCATACACAACTAAAAAAAATTTTTTAAAAAAATTCTGCTGAGCCAAAACTTGTGTTAAATTCTAGATGTTTCTAACCCATTCAATCAGAATTCTTCCTTATGCCTGTTTTTTTTTTTTTTTTTTTTTTTTTTTTGAGATTTTTGTTAAGCCCAGGACATGGGATCCCCTTATATGTCAATAAAGTTTATATTAAATATGTTTTAGGAGTCATAATCAGGACATTAATTATGGCATAATTTGAAGCTTCCTGCCACTATTCAAAGTAAAGAACTCTTTTTACTTTGAAATTCTAAGAGGATTTCTTACAACCTCATTTTGTTCTAAGATGTCTTTTCCATACCCCATGCTTAATCTCAAGCCAAACATGGACAAGGCTCAGTCAATAGTAAGTTGTTTTCAGAACCAAAGAAGAACTCAGTTTTCTACAAGCAGTATCTACAAGACTTATAAAGGTCCTTGCTGTTTTTGTTGAAAAGTGCATCCCCTATGACAGACATGTATCCTGAGTCTCCTGCAAGGATAGGGGGAAATGGATGTCAGTTCCTTGCTCCCTGCTAGGAACAGTTAGTGTTCCTTGTGCAAACATTGCAATTCTACCTGTGCCCTACATAATTCACCTTAAATGTTCCAGAGTTCTACTAGCTCTAAAAAACTTAAAGTGAATCAGCTCAGCATTTGGTTCTGCATCACATGGGAACATTATTTTCTGAGGGTAACAAAGGAGGTAGCACTCATGAAAACAAATAAAACGCAACGTCAAGGTGCCAACCTTCTGACTATGTTTATTCACATTTCAACTTATGGATGGAAAGTTTTTTCCTTGCTACAAAGTTCTGTTAAACATAAATCAATAAATACCAATTACAAATCAATAACTAATAGTTACAACTTCTATCTATTGCAAGCAGAATTATAAATAAACAGATGCTACTCCTTTGGTATACACAAGACTTTTATTTTTTTTTCTGTTGTACAACTACAGTTGCCATCATTTTCCCTTTTTTTGTAGGACTTCCTTTGGGGATACAACTGTTCATTGCACATTCCTTAACACTGTCTTAACAGTTAAGATTTGTAGCAAACCAAACAACTACAAGTATTTTCAGTTAAAATTTGTTTTCAGCCAAGCAGGGTTGATTTTCTACCATGTGTTCATTGAGATATTACAAACAAAAAGGAAGCAAAGTACAAAAATGAATGTCCATATATATGTTCATGGCCTGGAAGGAATACCGACTGGCTTGAAAGGCTTTTCCCTGTCTGGTCATCAAAATGACATGCAATAGCCATGAAGAACTCACTTAGCTAGCAGCATGGAAATCACTGAGCTGGTTATTCAAAGATTGGACAAACAGAATTCTGGGATGCTATTTCCATTTTGGTTTTCCAGTTCAAATGGTTCTAGTTGACGATACTCAAACGTCACACGATTTACTTGTTTTCCACTGGAGACCATGCGCACCACAGTGTTGTCACAGCCAATTTTCACTTGGGCTATAATTGATGGAAAAAATAAAAGTTTCCCAGCAGGTTAGAAACCATAGCCAACTCATTGCTGTTGACTAGATTATTTAAGCACAACAAAAGTGAGGCAATGAATTTTCATTTATCGTACTCGAGCCACTTTTAGTTGAAATGTGTTTTTGTTTTTATTGTAGTATATAATTAATAAGAATCCTGAAATTGAACTCAGCCTTTTTCCTCATGTACAAGAACACTGTAAACCACAACTAGCTGGAAAGAGGCAAGAGAACGTCTCCAGGCCTTTTTCCTGCTCTCCTGCAAAGCTAGGGTGTTAAAGAAGGCAAAGGTAATGAGTCATCTCTGCATAGGGGCCCTGGGTCAGTGTTCTTGATGGGGACAATACTGCCCTCCAGGGAGAGGTTGGACATTGGTAGGGGCAGTGTATGATTGTCACAACATCTGGAGTTGCTGAGGGAATGTACTGCTGGATATTTATGTAGATGAAAATATTTTCTTCGTCTAGGTAACAAATCTGATTTACACATTTAAAATCATTTGCATGGGGCAGGGCTGGGGTTGTGGCTCAGTGGTAGAGCACTTGCCTGGCATGCATTAGGTACTGGGTTCAATCTTCAGCACTACATAAAAATAAATAAAGGTATTGTATCCATCAACAACGAAAAAAAAAAAAGAGGAATCAGGGGTTATGGTTGCAGGAAAAATGGTGGAATGTGATGGACATTATTACCCTAGATACATGTATGACTGCACATATAATGCAACACTACACTATGTACAAAGAAATGAAAAGTTGTGCTGCAATTGTGCACAATGAATCAAAATGCATTCTGCTTTCATGTATACCTAATTAAATTAAATAAATAAAATTTTCAAAAATAATCATGTGCAAGGTGTAGAAATGCCCTGATTATACCAGCTTTTGTTCTATTGTCCACTTGAATGCTTCCTCATTTTTTTTTTCTTTCTCATGTGGAATAGCTTAAAACATTCTTACTTGTCTCACATTCAATATTTTCATTATCTGTATAAGCATGTGACAACTTTTATATCTCTTTTCATGAAGTTATGCATGAACAGTTATATATTAAAGGTCATATTTTATTAAAAATTGCTTTCTTCTTATTTCTCTAGCCTCAAATTGGTTCCTGAAGCAAGATTTTTCAGTCTTACAATAATTCTTTCTGCTCAGTCCCCCTGCCCATACCTATTGTTTCTTAAGGTGTGGCTAAATTCTAAGAAATGGCATTGTAATTGTGTAACAGGTAGCTTACAAATATTACCTGGGCTTAAAGGAAGTAAAATAATTCTGTAATGTTAGTGAGGTAAAGTCAATTTGAAAATACAACAAATATAAACTGTATAATCATTTTTAAATAAGTTCCAGAGATCCTAGGGTAACTTCTTCCAGGAGAGCCAAATTTGTCTTTATTTAAATAATTTGGAAAATCATTCTTTTTTAAAAATTTTTAATATTTATTTTTTAGTTTTCGGCAGACACAACATCTTTATTTGTATGTGGTGCTGAGGATCGAACCTGGGCCACACGCATGCCAGGCAAGCGTGCTACCGCTTGAGCCACATCCCCAGCCCTGAAAATCATTCTTTTTTTCAGATCTTGCTTTGGATTTTAATCTATATAATATGCCTTATTTCCTCTAGTTAATCTGCATATAATTTGTCTAAAATTTCACCTAATTTCTAATTAAATTTATATCTACATATTTTTTGAACAATTTAGGAGAAACTCATAAAAACAGAGTGGATAAAAAAATCTAAAATATCTAAAATGAGCCACAGAGTGATATAGGTCAAGCCTTAAAAGCATCTTAATATTGGTTTTCATTATCTAGATAATTTAAGCAAAAAAAAAAAATTATTTTGGGGCCTCAATCTTATCCTTTTGCCTTATTGAAGTCATATAATTCCAGCAGAAAAAAAATGAACTTTGCTTCAATTATTTAAATTTTAAGGCATGCATGTTATTCAGTCCCAGTCTTTTTTTTTAAGTTGTAAATGGACACAATGCCTTTATTTTATTTGTTTATTTTTATGTGGTGCCGAGGATTGAACCCAGTGCCTCACATATGCTAGGCAAGTGCTCTACCACTGAGCCACAACCCAGCCCTTAAGTCCCAATCTTTTTACCCTATTCACATACACATCCTCAAGGTCTTCTCTCCACGCAGTGCCTCAGAGGAAACATGAGCCAGGTCAGAAAAACTATGCATACAAACATCTGGAACCAGGGCTCAGGTGTTGGCATAAATGAATCGTCTAATCTTCAGCAATGTGGGCTTTTAGAAATCCACCCTTTCTTACTTCCATGAGAAAGCTTTCCTTGAGATCAGTTCTGCCTTTAATCTCATCTGAAACTGTAAGGATTCTGGCTTTGGAAATGTACAAGGCAGTGTTCCTCTGGTAAGCAAACTCACAGGGGGTAACGGGCCCCTGTTTTCCGTGGTTGTTATATTCTGCAGTTTTTCCCAGGAACTAGTAAGATGACTAATACATGCTCAATGCCTAGCTGCTATGGTAATGTCCTTCGTGAGGAGGATCTGTGCTAGAGTCTTATCAGCCCTGACCTTAATCTCAGACACTCAGCTTTTAGAAATAAAGAAACTCTCTTGTTAGACAACACAGTTATGTCACTGAGCCCTAACCTGCCCATATATCAGTAACTTTATTCATTGAAAAATATGTTCTAATGATACCAATGAACTAAGATAATCTATGGATATAAATAAAGCTGGCAGCTCAGACGAGCACCTCTTTTACTTTGCCCTCTGTATCTTGCTTCTGTCTATTTTCTTTACCTGAAACTTTTTCATTCAGGGTATCCACAAAGGTAGAGGACACATCGGGCCTTAGTTCTTACCTGTGTGTATTAATTCTGTTTCAGAGATATCCAGGTACCAGCATGAGTTCAGAGAGAAAATACTGGTGTGCTGATCTGGTTTTAATTATACCAGGGCACAACTAACAAAATGATTGTCTGTTTTGTAGCTTCATTACCTAGCTGATAATATCTGTGGTGACAGGACAGGAAGTGTCTTTAAGATTAGACACTTGTGTGTTTCATTTCTGTTTTACTTTTGTCTCTGTAATGGTAACCGGAGATTCCTGTACCTAAAGTACAAGTATGGAAGTGATTCTTACAGAAATATTTTATATAATCCACCCCCCAACACACACATACATATTTGATTAGATTGGTATGAGCATCAGTAATTTCCACCTATCCTCACTGACCTGAGCATAATAATGACATGGAAAATCCTCACTGGTTCCTGATAAAGAAGATCTGGTTCTATTTGGCAACTATGCTCTAAGTCATTTATAACTGGTGCCCACTTTTGGATTTCAGAATTTACCTCTGGATCCTATTGGCCTTTGAGAGACTGGTTTGGCTGTCACAAGTTAGGGATATTCGACAGTTCAGAAAATTTCTGAAAAAGCTTACCTCTTTGGTGTTCATTTACTATGACTAATATACTTATTCACATACATAGAAACTTAAATAGTATTTCATTATTATACTATTATTAATTGATGATAGATCTACTATTGAATCATTTTAGTTGGTAAGCAACCCTTTAGTCTTCAGGAAATGAAAGCAGGGACCACTAAGAACATGGAAAGAATTGAAAAGCTTTGTATTTTTCACAGTTCTACTTAGGACCAACCTTAAATATATGTCCTAATTGTTCCATAGGTTTATCTCTTTATGTCAGATTTTTGGTAATAGAGTTTGATATTATACATAGGCCTAACTGTATTTCCATACTGGCTCAACATATAAAATGAAAGATTTTTGTGGTGGAATTCATCTTCCAAAATGTATTTTTAAAAATTTGGGTATTTTATGCAAGAAAATGTTAACTCACCAGCGCCATGAAAGGGGTAGCAAAGATCAGCTAAAGGCATCATCTTGGAAGGGTCCAATCCAGTTCCACCCAGCAATTCCACAAAGTCTCCTATTCCCCCACAACCTGCAGGGGGTTTCTAAGAGAATAAAGCACCAAAGAATACATTTAAACAAATTACAAAAGCCAAACTATTTGGTCAATGGTGGATAGTCGAATTCACTCAATCAGCCTTCAACATCCTAGCAGCATCATTGAATTTAACATCTGAGACTCCGGAAATGAAGACATTTTTAACAGAAAAAAAAAAATCACAAGAATTGCTTTTCTAAACCAGTTGAGTAATCATTTTTTTAAATGTGTGTGCCTGGTATTTTTTTTTTCATAATTTTAAGCTTAAGGGCCGGAAGCTTGATATAAAATGTATGAAAATGGAATCCAAAAATGCTTTGCTTTTCAAATCTCTTGGACATACATACTGAATTATTTGAATTTCTTAATGCATGAAGTCAGAGTTAAATAAAGTTGATTATCGGCATTTTATAAGTTGGGCATGCACATTGGTTTTTCCCTTTGACTCACCACTTTCTCTTCTTTAGAAAAGAATTTATCCATGTTGGAACACATCTTTTCTACCAATAAGGGTTTATTTTGATTATGAGTATATTTTTAAAAGGATAAAATTCTGATTTTGGGGCCCAAGTTAGCTAGACTTATATCACCTTCAAAGCTCAGAAGGGACCTCTGCTTGGTTTAATGCTCTATGGTCTCTGTGTTGAAATTCCTAATAATTTTTAAAATAATGGTCCTCACATTTTCATTTCATATTGTCTCCCACAATTTGTGTAGTCAGTTTGGCCTGTGAATCTTTTCTTCATGGAAGTGAATTTATTAAGTGGCATGTGACAGTTGCCCAGAAGTTAAACAGATAGACCCTGACACACAGGAACCAAAATCTAGATAGGGAACTTTAAAACACACACATGTACGTGTGTGCGCACATGCGTGCGCGCATGCGCACACACACACACACACACACACTCCAATATTTAGAAAGACACTGAAAAACAGCTGGAATGAAACTACAAGTTAGAAGATAACTTATAATAGCAATTGCTTAGCTAATGAATTGGCAAATGTTTTTTGTTTTTTATTTTTTATTGTTTTGGCACTGGAGATTTAACTCAGGGGCTCTTTTCCACTAGGCTACATACTCTGCCCTTTTAATTTTATTTTGAGAAAATGTCTTACTAATTTGTTTAGGACCTCACTGAGTTGCTGAAACTGGTCCTGAACTAGCAATCCTTCTGTTTCAACCTCCCAAGTTGCTGGAATCAGAGGTGTGCAGCATCTGGTGGGGACATCTTTTTTTTTTTTAATTTTTTTTAAAAGATGTTTTTAGTTGTTGATGGACCTTTATTTATTTATTTATATGTGGTGCTGAGAATCGAACCCAGTGCCTCACACATGCTAGGTAAGCACTCTACCACTGAGCCACAACCCCAGCCCTGGGACATCAATTTTTAAAGGGCCTACTATGTGCAGCGTTCTAGGCTTAGGTTCTTTTCACATAATTTCATCAAATGATGAAATAGAGATTTAATTAGCCCCACTGTGCACAAGGTTTCATGTTTGTGAATTGAGAGTTAATGAGCTACTTAGTGGTGAAGGGAAAAAAGACTAAACTGCCTTTCCCTTGAGTAGAGGATGTCCTGGGGGAACATCTCTACAGACTAAAGTTTCCACTCAGTTCTTTAGGTTCCAAATTTCAGCAGGTGAGAGAGAGAGGAAAAAAAATGGGAATTTAAAAAGTTGGTAAGAAGTGGAAACTAAAATGAGGGAACCAGAACAAGAGACAAGGAAGTTAGGTGGACCTATTCCTAAGTGTTGAATGACATTTCTGTCTTCTTTGTAATCCTATGCAGTTTTCTTATAAACAATGGCAGAAACTGAGTTGAGTAGGGACCTATCTGGGGTTCCATTCTTCAGCAGCGATCCTTGAGATGTCTTTCTTGAGATTCTAAGTTACTATCCATCTCTTGCTAGGTTACAACAATGTGCCAAAGGAGTACCTAGACTCCTTGTACCTAATGTAGAGTTCCCCACTGTACTCAATGTGCAAACTGAAGCTTCCCTTGGTGAAACTCACTTTCCAATGCATAAGAAAGCTGGAATGTTTTATTTTAGGAAATAGTCTTGATGGATACACAAATAACAACCAAAGAGACATCTATCTCCTGAGGACCGTGAAAACAGCAACATGGTCCCTACAGCCCATTCACTGTGTGGAAGCCAGAGGGCCTTTAGACATAAATATATATCAGGTCATGTTGCTTTCCTGTTTGACCTCTCCAATGGTTTCTCATTTTATTTAATATGGGCAACAGGGTTCTCCACACTATTGTGTTGCCCATCTCCCTAAGACATCTCACACAAGTCCCCGTTACCTTGTCTTCTTCCCATTTCTAGAACCCAGCAGGTTCAGTCCTGTCTCTCAGCCTCAGCACCACTGTTGCCTTTACTCTTTCTTTTTTCCCCCAGATCTGGCTCCTGATCTATTACTCAGGTCTCGCTTTAAATGTCTCCTTCTTAGAAGATTTCTTTCCTGATTACCTTATATCAGATAGTTCCTCCCTCTCTTCACCTCCTTGTTCCCAGTTTATTTTCTATCAAACCACTGAGCTGCATTTTCTGTACAGCACTTGCCCCTACTAGAAATGCATGGCAGCTTTGCCTGTCTTAGGACCTGTCTTGCTCATTGCCAATTTTCAGCATCAGAAAATATTTTTTTTGGCGGGGGGGGGGGGGTACCCGGGATTAAACTCAGGGGCCCTCAACCACTGAGCTGCATCCCCAGCCCTATTTTGTATTTTATTTAGAGACAGGGGTCTCACTGAGAAGAATAAATGCCTAGGACACTGGAGGCTCTAAACTGTTAAGAGGAAACACTAACATTATTTCTTATAGCCTCAGTACTGAAAGGACAGATCTCTTTATCTGCTATCACACCGCCTTTTACATCAAGAATGGCATGCAAACAATATCAAGCCAAGAAGACTAGAGCAAAGATATTAAAAGATGTGCTTATCAAAGAACAATTCTTCCATTAAGGTCCAACTTTAAAAAAAAAATGGCAGTGACCCATGAATTTAGGACTAGAGGAAATTGGAAATTTGCTTTTCTCAGTCCCGGTCCTATTAATTTGGCTTCACTTGAATCTGTCTGATTAGGAACTATGACTATCTTTTTAAAAAATATATTTATTTTTTAGTTATAGGTGGACACAGTATCTTTATTTTATTTTCATGTGGTGCTAAGGATCGAACCCAGTGCCTCTCACATGCTAGGCAAGCGCTTTACCTCTGAGCCACAATCCCAGCCCACTATGACCACTTTGATACCAGCAAATATGTGTCATCTTAACTTGGTCATATGAGAAAGTAATAGGAAATAAGGATGATTCATAGGGAAAACGCTACCAGTACAAGTAAATGTGGATAAGTTCAACATTAATTTTAAGGTCCATTCAGAAATTCATTTGAAAGAAAATTGATATGAATTATCAACTAATATTTTCATGCAAAATGGATAAAATTTAATGTATTTCAAACAACTCCTCAAAACTTTACTGCCTTTGAAATATAAAAAATCCAATTTTGTATTTTATGCTACAGTTAGCATTCCTTCATACCACAGTTCTGTCAATGAGATACTTCCTTCATGTCAAAAAAAAAAATTCCAATAATCAGAAACAGCTGTGTAGATGACTCACAGGAGGTTCTGCTAGGAGAGAATTTTTGTAAAAGAGGCAAGTACAAGAGAGTTCAATTGTAATTACATACTACAACTTTACCAGTTGAAAGCATTTCTTACATCACAAGAAAAGTATTGAAATAGTCAGAATGGGCACCTGAGTAGGGTTCTGACAGCATAACAGAAATAGAAGAGGGCTTTTGTTAAAGAAGCTGGGGCAAACATGAGATTTAATAACCACAGGGACATGATACTCCAATTTGCTGATGCCAGGTTTCCTTTTCCTCTGATAAAGCTGTGGCTTTACCAAATGATTAGGAAGCAAGTAAGTCACTCACCTTTGACTGAACACCATGTAAGCGTCCCAGAGTAAGATCAGATATTTTGATCACTACTGGATAAATTATGGAGAAGCTGCAGTTTCGATGCTGGTGTGGAACTACCAGGGTGAATCTTCCATTTGGAGTCTGAGAGATGACATTGCAAGCTTTGTAGGAAACAAAATGTTACATTTGCATTACTTGGTTTGCTGGGTTTTAATAGAAGTTTATTGTCTCCTTATCCTAGATTTATGTTCATGGCCTAGAATCTTGTGCCAGGAAGAGAATATATATCACATGACGATTTGGAGAAAGTAAAGAGTCGGGGAATAAATCATCACTGATATTTAGATATTGTCAGGAGACCCTGGGCGCAAGGGGGCTTCTCACTTTATCTCACAGGGTTCTGTTTTCTACAACAACAAGACATGAATTGTTAACCAGACAAACAATACGAACTGGTGTATTGTTCTATGAAGACTTCTGTCAACTAGGATCTAGGTTCAAGCTAGGAATATGGAACAATCCAGGCTTAAAGGTGAGGCTGGAACTCCAACTCTGTCTGTCTGAAGTCTTCACTCATAGAATTTGGAGCCATAATGTTGTTTAAAAAAATAAATAAATAAATAAACAAATAGGGCTGGGGTTGTGGCTCAGAGGTAAAGCGTTTGCCTAGCATGCATTAGGCACTGGGTTCAATCTCAGCACCACATAAAAATAAAATAAAGATATTGTACCCACCTATAACCAAAAAATAAATATTAAAAAAATTAATAAAAATAAACAAATAATTTTATTTTAAAATAGCAACAAGATAGGCTGGGAAAAACAGCAAGCTTAAGTCTAATAAATATTTGCCAAATGTTCAGTGATATTGATTAAAACAAATTTTAAAAAATCAGTTGTAGATGGACATAATACCTTTATTCTATTTACTTATCTATTTATTTATTTTATGTGATGCTGAAGATCAAACCCAGTGCCTCACATGTGCCAGGCAACCGCTCTACCACTGAACCACAATCCCAGCCCCCAAAAGGTAAGCTTTTAACATTCAATTACTCTCCGGAATTTCTGGAAATTTTTTTGTTTTGTATCTCAAATCTAGACTTGTATTTATTTTTCTAACTTTGAAACAGAAGAATTTGCATTTTTTGCTGATTATAGCAAAAGTTCCTGGTTAATCAGAAAAAGTCTGATTAACCCACCTCTTGCCTCCTTCTTATATTTTTAATCACACTTTTAATTTCAAAAAGAACTGAAATTTCATAATTCTAGAAGACTTCTTTTGACTTCTCACCAAATGTAGGAGAAACATTTTCTTTTGTCCTCAAGAATTATTCTGTACCAGTCCTCAGAAACTGCCTTTTCTGGAGGCAGGGGAGCTTCTTTCAAAAAAATTATTGTTTATTTTTTAAAAAATAGAAATCAGAAGACTAGTAGTACATTATTCTTGGGCAGATTAGGCCCCATCCTTCAACTTCTTGAAGTATTAATATTAATACTAGTATATGTAACCTAAATGGTTGATATTCTTTCATCTTCTGATTTTTAAAAATGTTTTTCTTCTAATAGGAAAAAATAAGCCAATGAGTGAACTCGATTTAATTAAAATAATGGGCTTCAGGCCTGAACTGTAGTTTTATAGAATATGTGTGTCTCCACCAGAAATGAAATAAATTAGGGTGGTGAGTTCAGTATCAGAAGACAACACAAAACATAAACATGCTTGAGACAGCTGAAGAAAATTCTCAGCAAAAATATACAAGTAGGAACTAGGTAGAAATTCTAGAAATGCATACAGACTGGAAAAAAAGAAATTAAAGTGTCTATCATGTTACAGGTGACATTATGGTCAATGATTCTATCCAAATCTTCTTGAATTAATAAGTGAATTCAGCAAGATCTCAGGATATTTTTTTAAATCAATTTTATTTCAGTGTACTAGCAACAAACATGTGGACACATATTAAAAATATAGCTGGGCATGGTGGTGCTTGTCTGTAATCCCAGAGACTGTGGAGACTGAGGCAAGAAGAATAGCAAGTTTAAAGCCAGCCTGGGCAACTTAGAAAGACCCTGTCTGAAAAATAAAAAATAAAGGGCTAGGAATATAGCTCAGTGGTAGAATGTCCCTGGGTTCAATCCTAGTACCACAAAAAAAGATAAATTAAATATATCATTTGCAATTGCTCCAAAATGAAATGTATAATAAAATATTTAGTACTTGTGTGTTCAAAACTACATGAGAACAATTAAAGAAATACTAAGGAAATTAAAAAGGTAAATAAGTGCAGAGGTAGAACATGTTCATAAATTGGAAGACTTGACATAGTAAAAATATAAATTCTCACCAAGTCAATATAGAGATTTAACATTATTCCTATCAGAATCCAAGCAAGACTTTTTTTGTACACATAGATGAGAGTATTCTGAAATGTATATGGAAGAATAGAGGCAAAGAAACTAGAATATTGTTTTAGTCAGCTGTTTTCATTGCTGTAACCAAAAGACCTGACAAGAACAATTATAGGAGGAAAAGTTTATTTGGGAGGCTCATGTTTCAGAAGTCTCAGTCTATAGATGGCTGACTCCATTTATCAGGGCCAGAGGGTGAGGCATGGCAGAAGAGTGTGGCAGAAGAAAGCAGCGCAGGACATGGGACAGGTAGAAGAGAGAGATTCCTCTCACCATGAACAAAACATAATCCCAAAGGCACACCCCCAGCAACCCACCTCCTCCAGCCACACTCACCTGCCTACAGCTACCACCTAGTTAATACCTAGGAGGAGATTAAAACCCTGATTAGGTTAAAGCTCTCATAACCCAATTATTTCACCGCTGAACTTTCTTGCATTGTCTCATACATAAGCTTTTGGGGACACTAATATGGAACCATAACAAATACCTAAATCAATTTTGAAACAGGTGCAGAGGTAGAACATGTTCATAAATTGGAAGACCCTACCTGAGTGTCGCACTTAGTACATAGGTACAACGATCAAAATGGTGTAGTATTGGTAGCCGGGAAGACGCACAGTTGATGGAACTGAACAGAATCTCTCTCTTCTACCTGTTCCACTGACTTTTGACAAAGATGCAAAAGCAACTCAACAGAGAAAAGATCATGTTTTAAACAAATGGTGCTAGAGCACTTGGATATCCATAAGCAAACAAACCAAACAACACAGACCTCCACCAAAGACTCTCACCTCATACAAAAATTCACTCAAAGTTGATCACATGCTAAAATATAAAACACAAAACTGTAACTGAAACAAGCAGGAGAACATTCTTCAGGGTAAACAAATCAGTTTCTTAAAATGGACATAGTGAGGTTTATTTAACTCTCACTGGAGTATGAGACATTAAAATTGTACCTAGGAGCTGGGGTTGTGACTCAGCGGTAGAGCACTCACTTAGCACGTGCAAGACCCTGGGTTTGATTCTCAGCACCACATAAAAATAAATAAAACAAAGGTATTGTGCTCAACTACAACTAAAAAATATATATATTTAAAAAAAAAAAAAAAGAAGACAACACAAAAGTATTCTGGTTCAATCCTCTGCTCAGGACATGACATCTGTCCACCATGTCTCTGATATGCAGCCTTTCAGTTTTTGCCTAGGTAGTTCTAGATCACAACTTCATATCTCATCCTTCAAGCTTATCCTGGATCAGTGGAATGACTTGGGAAATTGATGTTTCCCACTGAAAACATTGTAGTATCTTAGGAGATCTGAACAAGACTTTGGAGGAAAAAATAGAATTGTATCCACCCTAAATTAGTATACTACTTAGCCTGGGAAATAAATTAAGAAGTGTGACTTGATTTTCATAATAATGATCAGAAAATAACCCTTAGATCATTTCCAATTATAAGTGAATTTCCATTCACATCATTTCTCAGTTCAAATTTTCTAAGTCTGTGAGATAATGCTATTTTGGAAAAGCAATTTGACTCCCCTCATTCCCCAAGTCCTGTCTTATTACTGAGAATGCAGGAAAATCACTTACGAAAGAGGTTGGGGTCTGTCTTTATGGTTAGTGTGAAACCATTTCCTGGTTCATGGACCCTGAAGAAGATCATGGCCACATTCTGGGAGGATCTGATGCTCCTTCGGCTAAGACCACTCTCACAGAAATCTATGTACCGCTCAGTGGTGGGGAGAGGATGATCCTGGGAGCTGGGGAATTTCTCTCCCTTAAGGATCCAACCATCAAATACCTTCCAAAAAATAACAATACAGACACAGATGGTCACTTTCATCAATTCCTGAGATCATGGGTATGTTGAAATGGGGGAAAAGTTACCCAGCAGTAAGCCTTCAGTGGTAAGTGACAAATTGGCAGCCGACCCCCTGCCTGCTTCCTTTCCATTTGTATGTATTCTGACTGTGAAAGTTCATTGTAAGTAATATTATTAACCAGTTAATGCTTTTTTTTATGTATAAGACTTGATGTTGTCAAATAGAGAGATTTTCTTATACTTTATTTTTATCATTTCAACCATTTTGGTAAAATGAAATCATAAATAATATACATTTTTATTTTGATCATATTTTCTATATCTCACCTTCAGAAGAATTCCACCAAAGCATAACTTGGATTTCATTCAGCTCCTTTCTTTCCTCTAGTTATTGAAATATGAACAAAATATCTCAAAAATAGGTAGCAAAAGAAAAAACAGGGGCAGCAATTTTATCTGCCAGTGTACAAAAACTTATTCTTCTCTCTCTCCTCCTCCTCCTCTCTCTCTCTCTCTCTCTCTCTCTCTCTCTCTCACACACACACACACACACACACACACACAGAGAATTTTTCCTGTTGTTACCATCTATGGTTGAACAAAAGGTGAGAGTCAATTGACTTTACTCTCAGAATTACCAGAGGTCTTTAGTTACTGAGTCCAACATAATCCACATTAACAAAATTACCAACACAGCTGTTTGACACATGTTTGACAGGTTACAATATGATTCCATTTTGAAGGTTTTAATCATGATTATTTTCATTGAACAGTAAAGCTCCATGTAAACTGACCTATTAAACATATGGAGACTGGCAATGGGGAAGCTGTGAGGTTGGGGGGCTTTTCCTCCCCTCCCACCTACTCAAACTCGATTCCCCCACAGAATCCCTCCCAGCAGCCAGTGCCCTACTGCTCCAAAGTCGGATCACCCAGACTTTGCAGACAGCCTCTGCTGGCCTGGAACAGCTCAGGCAGAGAGGGGGTCAGCAGGAAAAAGGGCTTGGATCTCAAATGTATGTGGCTGGCATTCTCACCAAGACTGGCTTCCTAGTTGGACTTCCTGCCAGTTAGTTTTCATTATATTTTGTCTGCTTCAGATTGCATCACAACGTTTCAAGCTGCTAATTTTCAATTTCCCAGGGCCTCGAAGAAAAGTTTAAACCGCGCAGCGTCCAGCAGCAACGGCCCTACAGGCAATCGGGATAGGTCTTTCTAGGAGTTGGAACCAAGTTCCTGCAGCTTGGGAGCCCGAGCGCGCCTCTCCAACACCAGCAGAGTGTCTAATTGAGAAGTGTCATCTGCTTTCCAAGGCGGTAGCAGCACTCCAGCCCTTTCCAATCCTCCGGTTACCCCCTTTCAGGCAGTGACGGGCGCCTTACCTTTAGGAAGTCCCCGCCCTCACAGTCGATGGAGACCAGGTCATAGTGGATGTTGATGAACTCCTCCGGCTCAGCGATGAAAAACGCGGCGCAATGCAGCTGCGGCCTGTCGGCGGTGAAGGTGAACTGACCCGGGAGGCTCAGCATGTCCAGGCACCCTGGGGAAGGGAAAGGCACCAGGCATCCAGGACTGTAGCTCTCTCCGCGCCAGCCTCAGGCGACCCTTCTTCCCTCGTCTCTTCTCCGGCTCTGCAGCGCGCACTGCAGCGAGCCCGGCTCAGCTTCGGCTGCTCGGGGTTCCCGATCTCATCCTTAGCAAAGGGGATCACACCCAGGAGATGACGGCCACCTCGCGCCGTAAGATCCCGGGAGGCACTTAACACTAGGTGTCCAACCCTAACCTCCCAGCCTCCCAGGCGCCAGCGGACTCGAGCCCCGACTTACGCAGAGCGCGGTGGTAAGGCTGCTCCCCAGCCAGGTCCCGCTTCAGGTTGGCGCTGAAGAGTAGGAAAGGGTCATATTCCGCGGTTTCTTGCAGCTGACAAGGAAAATGGGTCCGTTCAGAAAAGTTCAAGACGTGAGAAAGAAAATGCACCAGGAGCTGGGCACCCTATCTGCCTCGCAGCAAAGTGAAAGGAAAGTCAATGCCTCCTTGGGTGTCTGGAGACAATGGGAAGGTCTTAGACCCTTTCCCCTCAGACCAGGGCATCCCCAGGGGCGAGAGAAAAGCAGGCAGTATAGATGCTCAGAGGCAAGGAGAAAGATAGGTCTAGGCGAAACCGGGGGAAAGGATCCAATACAGAGGAAAGAAAGAGCTAACCTCATAAAAGGTTGATAGCAGAGGCCACCTGCCTGCCTGTCAAGGCTGAACAATCTAGGGATGGCTTACCTCTAGGTACCGGCTCTCTCCTCTTAGAGCCATCAGGAAGATCAGAATGAAGTGACACTGGAGCTTGAAGTTAGGTGGCATGCTTGGCCTTGCAGCTTATGCACTCTGCTCCTGAGATCCTGGGCTTTTCTTCCCGCACCTTTGCCCAGACTGAGTGCTAGAAGGCAGTAGGGTCCCTCCCTTAGGTCTCTTTTATAGAGCAGCAGGGAGGGGAGGCTCTCTGCCCCTTAACTCATGGGAGCTTAGTTACCATGGGTTACCTTTTCTCAGTGACAAAGTGCGTGGTGATGACGAGGGTCCAGCTCTCAGTCACAAATTTTCAGCTTGGCCCAGCATTATTCACGAATGATTTCGATCACAACTTAGTGAATTAAAAGTGTGGGAGAAAGAATGAGGCAGGGACAAAGAATAAGGAAGGACATTTTACTTGATCTTCCAAATACTTCATTATACTTCCTGTGAACATTTGGAAATTTTTCATTTTTGCAAACAAAATCAACAAAGTTATACACATGCATAAAAATACCCAAATACAAATGACCTTATCCTACCTTGTCACATCAACTTGGATGGAATCATGCTGGAAATTGTCAGAGTACAGTACTTACGCAATTGTTCATACTACTCACCAAGAAACTTGAGGCATTTTTAGCTCCAAAACTTTGACAGAAATTGAAGTCTGATTTTGTAGAACATTGCGGTAATGCAATTACAAACTTTCTTCCTGTCCCTTATTCTTTGCTGTATCCTGGTTCAGTTTCTTATAAGTATTTCCTTAATGGAAAACTAACTTTCTGTGGTTTGTGGACTTCTGAATTTTAGCTGAGCTCTGTCACTTCACCCAGTTATTTATATTATGTATACACTCCTTAACAGGTAACTGCACCATAAATTGAGTAGTCACCTGAACCACTGGGAGAGTGTTGTCTACTCAATGGGTACACATACCTGGATTACTTCTGTATTACGGTAGAAAGAACAGCTAAGAAGCTATATTGTTACTGCTCACTAGCAAATGTACAGGTCTAATTAAATGACTTAGGGGTCCAGACATAAGTTAGGTATACACTTCTCTTCCCTGATTAACAGAGAAGAGCATTGCTTCTGCTGTATGTTTATAATTATGGGGAATATGGAGATGCTCTGCTTTTGGCTTTACTACCCCCCCCCCTTTTTTTTCCTGTGGTGCTGGGGATTAAGCCCAAAGCCTTAGTGCATGTGACACAAGTACTTTACCAACTGAGTTATATCCCCATCCCACTCCCTCCTTTCTTATAAAGCACCTAGTAGTGTTATTAAAATTATCAATACACAATTAGACCATACTGCAGGTTTTAATGGAAGGAAATAGCTATAGTTTTGGTTTAAAAAATACTCAAAATTAACAGTAATTTGCCTAGTAGTGTCAGAAGTTAATATTTTCATATTCAGGACAATTCTGAGCTTTGTAGGGACTGCACCTTCATTAAACAGGAGGTCTTCTTACCCTAGCCTAACTTTATAAATACTCCTCAGACCTCAGAGGGGGGAAAGAGGAAGAACACTGGCAACTATGTCATTCTCTCCATCCTAGTGACTGTTTAGATGTCTGAGTTTTAGAAAGAATATAAAGCTATATGAGAGGAATAAAAGAGGAGAGAAACAAATTGCTTAACCCCCACTAACTTGGCCTCAAATGTGGTATCATCCTCATGTCCATCTCCCACTTCATTTGGGCCCAGAGAGAACCTCAGGCACATTCACCTTGCATGCCAAGGGCTCATTCTCCTTTCATACCAACTTAGCCACAACCCTGGCTTACTTAGAACTGGAACTCACTTGGAGAACTCTGTCTTTCCCACTTGGGGGTCTGGCAACTTGTGTCCTCCCAGCTCAGTGCTACTTATTAGCATCACCAAAGAGACACTGTTCTCCAACATGCCCCTGCTCCACACAAACGTCAGCCACTGGTGCATGGATAACAATGATATTCCCAAAGTGCTTTCATGAAGCTCTTTCCTCAAGAAACACGCACATGAATGCAAGCAAACATAAGACTGATAGGTAGTATCTGACGTTGCACAACAATTCACAAAATATATAAATGAGCTTCATTTCCACCAAATCCTGTGTGGGGAAATCAAAATGGAATTTCCACCAGCTTGGGAAACATCTTTTCAGCCAGGGGGAAATGTTTTTTTTTTTTTTTTTTTTTTTTTTTTTTTAAATAAGGCTAATTAAAAGAACTAGAACTTATGGAGGAAAACTAAGAAGATAGAATTGGAGGACAAACAAAAGCCAGGTGGCCATCATCCATGAACCAAATTATTAAAAATGAGATCTGGTTGGTTTGTAATGGAGGACTAGTTTGAATTGGATAGGGAAAAAGTTTCTGGACAATAAGCAGGCCTATGTTTGAGGACTGAGGATAAATTGTTCTAGTGAACGAATTTGGTCATTCAAACAATTAGCTTAATATTTGATAATTGTTTTTTCAACAAATAACTGGGTTTCTGTTGTTGTTTGACATATGTTCTGTATAAACTCAAGAATCCCCAGGCACACTTATTGGAAATGATCTGTGTAGATGAAAATTATCTGTATCCATTCTCTGCAAATATTTTACATTTTCTCCATACTTTTCTGACAGCTTCTTTGATGTTGGTGTTATATAGTCCCTAATAAGTGTTTTTTAGGTCTTGAGCTATTGTTGGGCAGAGTGAAGACTTTATTTTTGTCAAGTAGGAAAATGCATTTTTTTTCTTTCATAAAATCCCAGAGCACATTGTCACCTGAAGGTCAGAGTAGCCACACAATATCAGATCCATGTCCATAATCATATCCACATTCAGATCCATATGAATTTGGGATGAGAGCAGAAACTGAAATTGTGCTAAGGCTGAAAAGGCATACACAGACAACTTGTAACTGGCATGCAGAGGGACTTTGTGATCACTCTGGGAAAATGTCCTAAAATGTAATTGTGATAGCTAAGAGCAAGCTTGTAGAGTCTCTTCCACTGCTTATGCCCTGAGGTGTCAGAATAAGCAAAGGGGACTATGTAACTTAAATCTCTATTACATGGTCCCATGACTTATTAAGTATTTCTTATCTGCTCTACTAAATTTTTTCTTTTGTTTATCACATTGAAAGAGAACATCACTAACACTGCATTCAAAGAACTTCTTGGGTTTGGCATCATGGCTCAGTGGTAGGGCGCTTACCTAGCATGTGTGAGGCACTGGATTCGAGCCTCAGCACCACATAGAAATAAATAAATAAAATAAAAGTATTGTGGCCATCTACAACTAAAAAAGTACTTTTTAAAAAAACAACTTATTTTTTCCTTTCCTGATTAATTTGTTATAACATTGGAAAATGAGGCATATGATTGAGTTTTCTTTAAGAAATAAAGGTGACCTAGCTAGTGTGTGTGATAGCACAGGCCTATAATCCCAGGAACTCAGGAGACTGAGAAAAGAGGATTGCAAGTTTGAGGCCAACTTCAGTAACTTAGCAATTTAGAGAGACCCTCAGCAATTTGACAAGACCCTGTCTCAAAATAAAAAATAAAAAGGACTGGGGATGTAGCTAAGTGGTAAAGCACCCTGGCAGGTTCAATCTCAAGTACAAAAAGAAAAGAAGTCAAAAGAATGAAACTCATTATAGTTAGCCAGCAACAACCACAAAATATTTCCACTTGCTTTCAATATGTTCTGCTGTTGGAATGAATTTGGAGGGTATTATTTTTATTTTATGGTGATAAGAAAACAACATGAAATCTACTTTCTCAATTTAAATGCACAATTATAGGCAAAATATGGTATAGCAAATCTCCAAAACTTATTTATTTTACACAACTGAAACTTTAAACACATTAATTAATAACTTCCCATTTACCACTTACCCCTCCCCCACTCCTGGCAACCACCATTCCACTCTCTTCCTCTATTAGCTAACTATTTTATTATAGACTTCATATAAGCAGAATCTTGGAGTATTTGTCCATCTGTGATTGGCTTATTTCATTCAGCATAATGTTCTCAATGTTCATCCATTGTACAAAAATGGGATAACTATAACATTACTTATCCTAACAGGGAATTTCCTTCCTTTTAGGATAAGTAATATCCCCTTATATGTATATACCACATTTCTTTATCCAGCAATTGACATTTAGGTTGTTTACACATTGTGGCTATTGTAAATAATGCTGCAGGGAACATAGGAGTGCATAGATCTCTTTGAGACCTTGATTTCAATTTTTTTTGGATAAATGCCCAGAAATGGGATTGCTGGGTCATGCATAATTCTATTTTTCATTCTTTGAGGAACCTTCACACTCTTTTTCATAGCAATTGCACCATTTTTGCATTCCTACCAACAGCGCACAAGGATTTTGTTTTCTTTATATCTTCACCAACACTTGTTATCTTTCATCTTTCTGATAATAGTCATCCTAACAGGTATGAGGTATTTCCTCATTGTGATTCTGATTTGTATTTCCTTGACAATTAGTGATGTTGAGCATCTTTCTATATACCTGTTATTCATGTGTCTATCTTCTTTGGAGAAATGTCTATTCAAGTCCTCAGCCCATTTTAAAATCAAGCTATTAATATTTCTTTTTTTCTGTTTTAGCTATTAGGCTATTATATGTCCTTATATACTTTGAAAATTAACCCCTTATCATATATTTAGTTTTTTAAATATTTTCTCCCATTCTGTAAGTTATTTTTTCATTCTGCTTAGTGCTTCCTTTAGTTTGATGTAATTCTATTTATGTATTTTTGCTTCTGTTGCCTATGTTTTTGGTGACATAAAAAAATCATTGCCAAGATTAATATTATGAATCTTTCTCCTATGATTTCTTCTAGGATTTTTACATCTCAGTCTTACTTTTAAGTCTTTAATCCATTTTTTTTTATTTTTGTATATGATGTAAGATAAGGGTTCAATTTTTTGCATGTGGATATCCAGTTTTTCCAACATCATTTGTGAAGACATTATCCTTTCCCTATTCTGTATTCTTTTTTGAACCCAGAGCTTTGTAAATACTAAACACTTACTCTACCCTGAAGTATATACTCCAGCCTCTTCCCATTATATATTCTTTAAAATTTTTGGGGGGGGCACTGGGGATTGAACCCAGGGGTACTTAGCCACTGAGTCACATCCCTAGCCCATGTTTTATATTTTACTTAGAGACAGGACCTCAATAAGTTGCTGAGGCTGGCTTTTGAATTCATGATCCTCCTGCCTCAGCCCCCTTAGTTGCTGGGATTACAGGCATGTGCCACCATGTCCAGCCTTATTATGTATTCTTGGCACCCTTGCTAAAGATGAATTGGCTTTCTGTTCTCAATATGTTCATCTCCGTGC